CCATTAAATATTACAATTTATAATCTAAATACTCAAGCACACTGTAAAAACATTTGTCAATTAGCAGGTTTCTTAAACCTCGTTTAAATTTATGAAAAGGTAGTGCCTTAATGGAATTTGGAACTTTGTTATATAATTTAATGCACATAATGTAACTGTTATTTGATGTGAGTGTGAGATTTGTTTTAGGTCGATATAATTTGTTGGCATTGTGAGACCGTGGAGCGTAATAACTTGCCGGATTCTCAAAGAGTTGCTTATGCTTAAAAACAAATATACACGACTCGAAGATGTAGAGGCAAGGCAAGGTTAAAATTTTGTATTTTCTAAAGAACGGGCGACAGGAATCTATTTGTTTCAACCCGAATATCGCTCGAATACACTTTTTTTGCATTATAAATGCTTGTTCTATCTCAACACATCGACCCCAAAGAATAACCCCATATCGCAATATGGAGGATATGTATCCGTGATACGCAGTCATTGCGGCCTCTCTTGATATTTCACGGCTGATACGTCTCAAGGGATAAACAAAACTATTAATTTTACCACAAACATCTTGCACTTGATTCTTCCAAGAGCAGAACTTGTCTAGTGTAATCCCAAGAAATTTTACTGACTCAGCTTCTGACAGAGCTATCCCTTTATACATCACATTTAATTCGGCGGGTTTATTCCTGTAGGTATGAAACTGAATGTATTTAGTTTTATCTATATTAACTTTTAGGTTGTTCCCTTCTAGCCACTGTACAGTTGTCTGGAGCACGGTGTTTATTTCTCTCTCATAAGTACTTTTATTCTTACATTTTACGACAATAGTAGTATCATCCGCAAATAATACACATTCGTGGTTTATGACATTTGGAAAGTCGTTAATGTATAGCAAAAACAATGTAGGGCCCAAAATACTACCTTGAGGCACACCGTATTCATTTGTCAAAAAAGAAGAACGATATAGTTCACGTGTTTTGGATATCTCATTATAACTTGAGATCTCCACCGCCTGTGTCCGATCAGATAAATATGATTTTAGCCAGTCGTACGCTTTCCCTCTAATACCGTATCTATCAACCTTAGCTAGTAAGAGTTCATGACTTACATGATCAAATGCCTTGCTCATATCCATAAAAAGCACTGAAACCGGTATTTTGTTGTCAACTGAGTCCATTATTGATCTCACTAACCGAAATGCTGCCAAAGATGTGCTTCTGTTTCGACGAAAACCATTTTGTTCATCCCTTACAATTTTATGCTTATCTACAAAGTTAATTAGTTTTTTCAGGAAAACCTTTTCAAAAACCTTTGCGAATATAGGTATCAGTGTAACGGGTCTGTAATTATCCATTTTAGTTTTTTCCCCCTTTTTATACAATGGCTTGACTATTGACCTTTTCAGAACATCGGGAAACTCCCCCTCCTCCAATGAGAGATTAATAACGTATGAGAGCGGTTTTGAGATCACGTTAGCAGATAATTTTACAATATCAGTACGAATATCATCATAGCCCGTAGCTTTTGAATCGTTAAGAGTCCTTATTATGCTTAAATATTGTACAGTGGCTTAAAATAAATAACTTATCAACGAATGTCGATAAAACTAAAATAATGAATTTTAGAATACGCAAACAACGCATTGATCAATTGACTGTACAATACTAACATAGGAAAATAGATGAAACTGAAGTTACAAAATTCCTGGGCTTAAATATAGACAATAAAATTAACTAGAAACTACACATTGACCATGTTTGTAAAAGGCTGAACCAATTCTCATATGCCCTTAGTAGACTCAGAAAAGTTGCAAATCAAACTACCCTTAAAACAGCGTATCATGGTTATGTTGGATCAACTCTAAGATATGGCTTAATATTCTGGGGCAACAGTACTGACAAAGTTAGGGCATTTGTAGCGCAGAAACGATGTTTAAGGGCTATTTTCAAATTACAAGGAACTGAGTCGCGTATCCCATATTTTAAAAAACATAACATCCTCACTTTGCCAAGTCTGTGCATACTTGAGGTCGCGTTATTTGTTAAAAACAATCCCAATCTATTTACGTTCCGTGAGCGCGTAAGACACGAAAATAAATTACACATAGTTCCAAGCAGAACACATCTAATGCACGAGAGCATATTCTGTATAGTATCGAAGATATTTAATAATATTCCGGGAGATATAAGACAGATCAAAGAAACAACCATATTTAAAAAGAAATTACATGACATATTGGTGAATAAATGTTATTATACTATAAAAGATTCCCTAAATGCCAAATCCCTGCTACAATATTCTATACCAAAAACATGACGTATTCAGCATTAATTACCTATTGTATTACTTATTTTACTAAATAAATCATAATAAATATTTGACATAAGCATTTATCGACATGACATATGTAATTTATCTAATAATTTCTTGTTTTATTATGTAATTGACTTTTTTGAACATTAATATTGTACCCAACTATTGTACGCCCTATGGGCAGGACACAGCTGAGCTCAACCAAATTATGATAACAACTGTATTATGTATCTACCTGTGATCTACAATGAATAAATGAATTTGAATTTGACCTACTCCTTCCCCAATTTCCCAATTCCTAAATCTTCAACAATCCTCAAGATCCCAATCCCCAAAACGCATTCGTAACGCCTCTGGTGTTCCGAGTGTCCATGGGCGACGCCGATTGCTTACCATCAGGTGTTCCGTCTGCTCGTTTACTGGCTTATCCCATAAAAAAAGTCGCGGAGAACCTAACGGGTTACCGGGGCTCCGGCTCGACGTGCACGAGAAGGAACGGGGTGGTTTTTAGTCAGTAAGAGTCTGACATTCCCTCCCGCCTTACCCAGGCGGGAGCAGTCATTTGATGAATTTCCCACCTTAAAAAAATCCTATAAAAAAAAAACAAAAGTTTCTATTACTTAACATCTACAATGACCAAATATTTGTTTTGTCCATGTCTATAGATACGGCAAGGATAGTCGCCTCACCCAGAGCCTGAACAACAGCCTGGCATTCTTCCTATTTGAACTGCTAAGCATAATGGACCGCGGCTACGTCTTCAACCTGATTCGAACCTACTACAAGCAGATGTGCGCTAAGATAGCCTCGCTGCCTGACGCTGTGCCCCTTGTTCACTATAAGGTATACTAAGTTTTTTATAGTTTGTCTTCATCATCAATCGAAAAATAACGAATTGTGGACAATGAAATATTTTCACAACGAGGTTTTGCACTATGATTCTCAAGAGCTTAGCATTGCTTAACAAAATGCTATGTCTTAACTTTGTTTTGAAATTATATTGTGCTTAAAATCTTCGGCTAATTTGTAGTTGTGTCGCTTAAACACTTTATTTCTTTAATTTTTAACATGGGCTTGTTTAATTTACAAAGCAAATCATGTCATCAAACACAGATATTTGTAGTGAATGCAACCACTATGAACACGACATATTGAATCGAAAGACGACCAACAACCGCCATTTAACCATTCTCTGAATATGAACAGTTTGACAAAAAAATATTGGCATGACTTATCTTATCAACATTCCATGGCATGTACGTATCCGTCCGCAGCTGGCGTTCCTGCGCATCGTATGTTCGCACGAGCACTACGTGTCGCTGAACCTGCCGGCGGGCGCGGGCGTGTCCCCGGCCGCGTCGGCGCAGTCGCTGGGCGCGCAGTCGCTGGGCGCGCAGTCGCTGGGCTCGCAGTCGAGCGCGCCGCCGCCGCACGCGCTCGGACACGAGTTCCGCTCGCGGCACTACCTGGCCGGCCTCCTGCTCACGGAGCTCACCAACGCTTTGGACTTGCAGTGAGTAGGGAATGAAAGCTATTTCATTCATTTATTCTCAGCCGTAAGCTTACCTACCTTCCTTCCACTCCTCTCTATGTAAATATTTTTGCAGTCAATCTTTGGTACAGATATCCAGTTCGTCCCGCCATCTCCTTTTGGGCCTGCCGCCACGTCTATTACTACGACGTTGAGCGGTCCAATAAAGTTGAGTCATTTTTTTGCGATAATTGTGATATTCTTTGTAATTTATTTTGTCATTTTTATTTTGTTGGGTCCAAAAAGAAAATATTACAACTATCAAACAGACATAATGCAAGGGCAGTATCATACTAGTGGATTGTGAGTATTAAACACGTTGCGGCCGCTTCACGAATACGCTGCGACTACGTAGCGAGGGCGCGTAGGAAACACGTTGTCCTCCGCGTAGCAAATCATTTCACTCAGTTGTGTATTGCTGCACTCACCGTCTCCTCTGTAAATATGCCTATACTATCCATTATGTTCAGGTAAACGCGAGCGTAGACGGTAGTGCGCGTAATCCCGAAATGTTTAGTATTTTATAGTTACAATACTGAATGGTTGCATATAATCAAGCTAAGAATACTTTCACGTATAATCGATATCCGTCTCCAGGTCTCCAGTCCTGCAGTGTGCAGCAGTGACAGGTGTACTATCCCTCCTGACTGCCCATGACGCAGACCCCCGACTGTCCGCGCCGGACGTGAAGGCTCGCGTGGCAGCGCTCTACCTGCCGCTACTAGGCATCGCCATGGATGCTCATCCACAGCTTTATAGAGGATTCTCTACTAACAAAGGTAATAATAATAAACAGCCAAAGTCTTCAGATAGAGGATTTGGTCTCGACTTCGAAGTTTTTGATTTGATTTTAAGTATGTACCTTATAATCTTCTATACATATAAAAAACTGTAGAACTCTAAACTCTGTACATTGAAAATAAAAGTAAATAGTAATGTGTTACTAGACAGACACCGAACCCAAAAATGTGATTACCATAAAATTTGTCTGTCTGTATGTTCACGCATCACGCAAAAACTACCGGTACGATTATGATGAAATTCGGTATGATTACACTTTAATATTCTGCGCATCACTGGTGTAAAAATATATTTAAGTACCTATAGCCTCAATACTGAAAGGCAACTCAATTTTAAGTCGCGCTTAAATATCGTTCTGTCACTACAAATTCTTTGCCAAATGACAGAGATGGCACGATATTTGAGTACAATTTAAGATTGAGTAACCTTTCAGTATTCGAGAGTATGTAACTTTATCTAAACAATAAATCAACCGAAACTTCAGAGTCGCACTTTTGCCTTGTTCGCACTTTTTTTAAGGGGGGAAAATCATCGAATAACTTCTCCCACCTGGGTGAAGCGGGAGTGTCAGATTCTTACTGACTAAAAACCACCCCGTTCCTTCTCCTGCGCTTCGAGCCGGAGCCCCGGTAACCCTTTAGGTTCTCCGCAACTCCGAGGGACAGAAGCGAGAATGATATACTAAACACTCGGACTAAAATACTAGCACAGTGCTAACAAGGCATTATAGCAGCTAAAATGTAACTATCTACTCATACTACAATAACTTATTTTGCAGAGGTACTACAGCTGGACAGTGAAATAGGACAGTTCAGCAATTTGTATACAGCGTCATCTCCAGAGGGTGATTTTAAACAGGTAAGTTACATTGTTTCTAATTTTTCTTATGTTTTTATCTAATATTATGTCATTCATAATATATTACACTTAAAATATTGTTTTTTGATCGGCGATCGATAGTGGTGGATTAGCCAAGTTTTAGTTTGTCGTCTGTAGGAGCTGGAAGATAAATAAGGGTATCGGGCTTCGGTGACGACAACAGTATAACGTGTGTCATGTGTAGCATTGTTTATTACATAAGTTGAATAAGTATAAGATCGTTGTACTGTTGTCCCTGACTGTGTTGTTGTACTGTCGTGGTGGCCCGGAGGACTAAACTTCTGCTAAGGCCAGTAACTTTTCCAAGTTATATGTACTTTCTTAGATTATTCAGACATCACTTGGTCTTATAATTTGCAATCATAAGTTTGAAATCGCCAACCCGCATTGAGTAGCGTGATGATTAATGCTTAAACTTTCTTCATGCGAGAAGAGGCTTTGCTCAGCAGTGGGCATTTATAGACGATTTATGCTGACCGTTGTCCCCAGAGCGGGCGGGCGCCGTTCAACAGCGAGACGAGCCGCAACCTGGTGATGTGCGTGGTGTGGGTGCTGAAGTGGGCCGAGCGCGCCGCGCTGGCCGCCACCGTGGCCGACCTCCCGCCGCACGCGCTGCACGCGCTGCTCGCGCTCATCGACCTCGCCTTCCGCTGCCACGAGTACAAGGTAAGAAAGAAAGAAAGAAGAAAGAAAAACCATTTATTTTGCTACGACACACAATAAGAATTTAGAAACACCGAAAAAAGCCCATAGTGCTTCCATGGTACCATTCACTATTACTTACTCACTCACTCATGGACTATTCTCACTTATTCACCATCACTCACTGTCACGTGATCACCATCACTCACTCATGGACTAGTCTCGCTTTTTCACCATCACTCACTCACTGTCACGTGATCACCATCACTCACTCATGGACTAGTCTCGCTTTTTCACCATCACTCACTCACTGTCACGTGCTCATCATCACTCACTCATGGACTAGTCTCGCTTTTTCACCATCACTCACTCACTGTCACGTGATCACCATCACTCACTCATGGACTAGTCTCGCTTTTTCACCATCACTCACTCACTGTCACGTGCTCATCATCACTCACTCATGGACTATTCTCACTTATTCACCATCACTCACTCATGGACTATTCTCGTTTTTTCACCATCACTCACTCACTGTCACGTGCTCACCATCACTCAATCACTGTCGCGTGATCACCATCACTCACTCACTGGCACGTGATCACCATCACTCACTCACTCACTGTCACTCACTTCACTCACTAATCGTAATTTTCTCACGCACTGGATTATCCATTGATTCAAATATTTATCGTGGTAGTTATCTATGCAGGAAGGTAGTGCTCAGGGAACTGATCTAAAACCTTTCTCTTCCCGTGTCTCTATATACACTTTGTTGTTGTCTATGTGTTCGATTCACACAAAAAAATATTTATTCACCCATTCCATTTTATAAATAATGATTTATCTACATAAACATACATACACATTGTAAATATTTGTCCGTCTTTTGGAGTTTTAACAAAACCAAAATGTTTTTTATTTATTTTACACTTTTTGACGTGACAACGTCTTAAATTAGGTTGCGGCTGGGAGTCACTTATGAAAAAGTGTAACGCTCGGTAACGTTACGATGAGTCACCGAACGAGAGAGAGGCCCGCCGAATGCCTTGCGTCTCTCTCCCACTCAACTATGATCGGTCTGCCGCGCGCGCAGCACTAGTTCATTCAATTCCTTGTTCCTATTGTGCAATTTAATTATATTCATATCAATAAATATTCTACCGAGAAAAAGACGTTGTCACGTAAAAATCTTCGCCCGTAAAAACGACTTTACAGGCAACCATTTTTTGTTTCACTGTATCAGGGTCGTAAAGAAATACTGAAGTGCGCACAACAGAACGTGCGAAAGACGACGGACATCAAGGCAAAACTGGAGGACGTTATACTGGGACAGGGGTCCGCTCGGAACGACTTCATCATGAGGAGGAAAGGTACTGTTACGGAGTGGTTTTAGAGTATTTAAAGGAAACTTGATGTATTCACTTAAAATATATTTAATGTCCAAAATACAGAATAGATACTATCCGCAATGACGTTCAAATCCACACTGACTGCAAAGCATTCCATTGGAAAAAACCCGACATAGTAAGAATGCCAACTCAGATACACGTTGTGGACAAACGTGAAAGGATAGCGTTGTCATCGTTATTGTTATATATGCTTAATATGGAATTCTGATATAACAGTACGCTAGTATTAAGAACGTTATATGAGACACTACCTAATGGTTATTGACAGACTCCTTAAAACTAATGTTTATAAAATGACTATCTCGTTGGCCAAGTGATCGCAAGTTTGACCGGCCGGGCAAGTTTCGGGTTCGATTCCTAGGTCGGGCAAAATATTACTGGATTTAAAAAAAATCTCAGTAGTAGCACGTAGTCTGGAATTGTGGCCGGTATATGGCAATACCCCCTTTTACATGGGACACATAACATAAAACAGTGAAAAGTGGGTTACATTGTACAGTGGCATTAAGTGCTGTGATGTGCACCTCTGCCTATGTTAGACGATTAGTGGACAATACAAGAGTTAGTTCGTTTCTTGGGTGGGTCACGTGGACAATAAATAGTTACGTAGTGTCGGACAAGTCCGTGAGTGCGTGGAGTGCGCAGGAGCGTGCCGCCGCGAGCGGTGGCGCAAGGAGCAGTGGCGGGGCGGCGGCCGCGCCGAGGGCGGCGCCCCGCCCGCGCCGCAGCCCGCGCTGGCCGCCGCGCTCGCCGCTGAGGTCTCGCTCACGCTGCTGCAGGCGCTGGATACCATTGTGCAGGTTCGTAGCTGTGTTTATTAACTGTAATACTGATGATTTCTAAACTAAAGTTGTTTAAATATCAATAGATCTATTTAGAGTTTTCAAAAGTAATAATACTAATTTTTAGTCATGGATATAGTTAAGTATAACTAAACTATAAATGGTAATTTATAAACTCGATTTCGTGCAAAATTCATATAGAAATCTATTATTTTTGATGTTTATAAATAGTATTGAATACTTACTCGATTTTCCATATCAATAAGCTTGTAAAATTATTTTTTTAGCACTCAATTTTATGCCTTATGTCAAAGTAATTACGGTTTCCAGTCGTGTAGCAGCCTGGAGTGTGGACAGGCCGTATGTACCGCGGCCCTGCAGGTATTACTACGCGCACTGCAACGCAACCAGAGCGGCGCCGTGCTGCAACATATGTTCGCCACGCTCAGGGCGCTGATAGTCAAGGTAAATCTAGTACAACGAATCAGTACATTGTTGCACATAGTCAGGCATTCGATAAAGTTTGACATAACGGAGTCTTAAATAAGGTTAAAAATATTAAACTTACTTCTGTTTCCTAATTACTGAGTTATTCCTAGAAAATATAATCAAATTAAGGGTTTATAAAATGGAATATACAACTGAATCCACATTATTGCTTGATATAAAATCAGGAGTTCCCGAGGGAAGTGTTTTGGGACCAATTTTATTTCTTATACATTATTTTAATTATTATTTGTTTCGTAGCATAAATGAGTATTGTGTTCCCCCAGCTTGGTTGGTCGTGTTGCGGCGAGGAGTCAGGTATCTGCCGCGTCCTGCTGCGGCACTGCGCCGCGCTGTCCGCGTGTACCAGGGCGCACGCCTCCGCCACGCTCTACGCACTCATGCGACAACATTACCAGCTTGGGAACGTAAGTATATGGAATCACTGCGCGGCGTTGTCACCAGGCATTATCATCAGTATATAACTATCCTACTGCCGAGAAAAGACCACTTCTCATACGGTCAATATTAATTTTAAAAAAGTTACTTCAAAAAGTTAACCCCATTTACTTTGCTCAGAATTTCAGCCGTGTAAAGATGCAAGTGACGATGTCCCTGTCCTCCCTGGTGGGCACGTCCACCACCTTCAGTGAGGAGTCGCTGCGACGAGCGCTGAAGACTATACTCGTGTACGCTGAGCATGACTCCGATTTAGCTGATACTACGTTCCCGGAACAGGTAAACGAATGTTATGAAGAGAAAATGTTTTTTTTTTTTGTGACAGGACCTAAACGTACTGGGCTAATTACAAAAATATTTCACCATCAGAAATCTTAATTTTAGAATAGTGACATAAAAATGGCTAAACGAAAGCTCTTTATCCTGAAAAAGTAACTTTGATATTTTGGATTAACTCGTCGAGTACCGGTTTTGTAGACACAATTATAGAACAATAGGTTGCGGTCACCGGTGACCGCTTGGTGTTTGACAGTTTAAATTGTATGATATTAGGTTAAAAATACAAAATTACTGTACCTACTTAATGTGGAATCCAAACTCCTTTTTGTAGTTAGTTTTTTGTGTAACTACTCGATCAACAAAATAAATGTATTCTTGTTGCTTTTTAACACCATTTAACATATTGCAATAAAATTAAACATTCTTTTCCAGGTGAAAGACCTAGTATTCAACCTGCATATGATCCTATCGGACACGGTGAAGATGAAGGAGTTCCAGGAGGACCCGGAGATGTTGCTGGACCTCATGCATCGTATAGCGCGCGGGTACCAACATAGCCCAGACCTCAGACTTACATGGCTCAATAATATGGCACAGAAACATATGGAGGTAAGATTCTTTAACTTTTAGGAAGTAATTGAATAGTTTTTTGTTTAAAAAGTATGTAATTATGTAATACATAATCGTAAAATTCAAGTGTTGAATAATTATTGTAAAAAGGTGAAGGGCCCAAAATTGAACCCTGTGGTACTCCATGGTAAGTTATCAAATGCTTACTGTATTATTGTTTAATGCTATGCTTATTTGGCAATATGCATTGTATGTGACGTGGCACATTACCAAAGCGTCATGAGGTTAATAATTGTCTTCTTCTCCTTCTTTAGCCTTTGTCTACCCTTAGGGTGTAGGCCTCCTTCAGTTTCTGCCATCTCTCTCGGTCTTGAGCAATTTCTATCCATTTCGTGCCAGCTGTTCGTTTGATGTCATCGTACCAACGCATCTGGGGTCTTCCTTGTGAGCGTTTTTCGCCCCACAGTCTCCACTCTATCACGGCTTTGCACCACGAACGCTGTTTGTATACTGTATATTGGTTGTGTTATGATTTTGGAGAACAATATTAATCGAAGGCTTGGTTTATTCTCTAAAAAACAATATTTACAAAATTATACAGTGGCGGACTTAATGCCGGATGGTTGTCTCTACTAGTCAACCGTAGGGTGATGCAGACATGTTAGTTCTATAGTAGATTCTAAAAGTGAATAATAATCTAGTATATTATTACAGAATGGTAATGACACAAATTGGACAAAATTTTATGTATTTCTTAAATTATAGCAATAAAATGAAATGATAATTATTTCTGTAAATGGGTTACAAAGTAACACTTTTCCTAACTGACTATTCTGAGAAGAGACGTCGAAACACTTTTGCCCACTGAAAATCAGTGCTGGGTAACCTGTATGCCTGGCTTACACTGAGTGGGTGACCCTTTTAGCATAGGCATGTTGTCAGCGTCTCTTTTCTAATTCTTCTGTTTCAATTTTTCAACTCTTATATTTTTATTACTTCCACTGTCACACCTTGATTGTCTTTTTTTTATTATTTTATTTATGTATGCTGCATCGTGCCTGGTGCTAAATAAATGTTTTTTCTTTCTTTCTTTCTTTCAAACAAACTCAGAGGTCATTGTCTCAATTTAAAGTCCAGACAGATTATAAATATAATTTGCGTATAGCTCTTATTTACTTATCCTAAAAATTCAAATAAGATTTAGACAAATCACGTTCAAAAATCTAGAGAAATTGAGCAATTCTTTAGCTACTAAATTATGTATGAAAGTATTTGATACTAGTAATCTAAATAGATTCTACAACGATTTCTTTGAGATGTTAAACAAGGAATTTAACAATATTTTTCCAATAAAAAATAAAGATACCAAATTTGTATTTAGCGATTGGGCAACTGTAGGTATTCGTAAGAGTAGGGACAGACTTTTTGAACTTTATGGAATGAAACCGTACAAAAACTACCCCCAATTTCACCAGTATGTAACATCTTATTCAAAAACCTTTAGAATAGTATGCAGAGTCGCGAAACGTCTTTATATTAGTAATAAAATAAAATCGTCTGATGATAAGATAAAAACTACTTGGAAAGTTATACACAACGAGACTGGTAAGAAAAAATTAAGAAACTCAGAATTTAATTTAAATACCGAAAGGGGACAGATTTCATCAAACGTAGATGTAGCCCAGGAGTTTGAAATTTTCTTTACTAATATTCCTATTAAAACAACTGAACATTTAAAGTCATCAGCAAACCTCTCTGCAACTTTGCTTAAGAACAACATAGAATCATGTCAATACGACTTTAGTTTTCGATGTACGAATCCTCTAGAAATTATAAAAGTTTTTAAAGAAATCAAGACCAAATCAACGAAGGATCTTTGGGGCTTATCGGTAATAGTTTGCAAGTTACTTATTCAAACTGTAGGCCATATCTGGCTGTGATTTTCAATAAATGTATAGATGACGGTGTTTTCCCTGACCTAATGAAATATAGGTTATTCCACTATTTAAAAGTGGTGAAGTACTAAAGAACCTAACAACTATAGGCCAGTATCTGTTTTGCCGGTTCTCAGCAAAGTCTTTGAAAACTTGATTCTGTCTCGGATGCTTCATTATTTTAATAAACATTCCATCTTTCACCAACAACAATACGGTTTCACTAAAGGTCGTTGCACAACTGACGCCGGTGTCACTTTGATTAAGGAAATATTTGGTGCTTGGGAGGAAGCACAGGATGCTATTGGTGTCTTTTGTGACCTCTCAAAAGCATTTGATTGCGTTGACCACGAGACACTTTTGCTGAAATTAGATCACTATGGGATAAGAAACTCTGCGCTCCGTCTTATGAAATCTTATTTAGAAGAAAGACAGTTAAAGGTTCATGTTAACGGTATTAACTCACAGGGCTCTGGGATGAATATGGGCGTTCCTCAAGGTTCAATATTGGGTCCCTTTCTCTTTTTAGTCTATATATATAACCAAGAATGGTGCT